GGAGCTGGCAACTCCGTTTTGCGGAAGGGCGGGCCTGCTTGGTTCATCTCTACATTCGTTAGAATGGATGAGCCATTTGGATGCCTGAAACGAGTTTCAGATAGAGATTGTTAAACAAGTGACAGTTAGGGAAATCTTGGAAATCTGTTGAGGGACGGGACAAAAGCAAAAAACTGGACCAGCCCCTCCCCTCCCCCACAATAATCTTAAAAATCATTCAAACACCGTCCAGACAGCATACGACGCTCGTTTGTGTTGCAATTTTCGGTCGGTTGGGTCGAGACGGTCTGCTCGCTAAGCTAAACGGCCGCAGAGCAGACCGTCCTGACTGAGAACGAAAACTCAAGCTCCGCTACTTGTCAAAGCACGGGACAGCGTCATAACCCTTCTCACGCCGCATGGCCTTGGAGACAACATGGGGGAGCGCGATTCTTACCTTGCAAAAAGAGGTGCGATGATTTCGTCGGCGTCCAGGGTAGTCGACATTGCGTCGACACGAAGGGCATTTCGGAAAAGAACCCTATCCTCTTCATCCAGGTCAGGGGGGTGAGAATGGGCGGCGAGGGTGCGGATGTATGAGTCCCCGTCGCAATACACTGCCGTGCCGGGACAACCATTCACGGTGTTGCACCGCAAGTTGTACACACCACTACTCCGATTAGAACAGTATATGAAAGAATCGGCCACATACAGTGTTCCATTAGAGCGTTCACCGGTCACAATTTTAACGTCAACCATGATGGCGTTGACTGAGGACAAAGGACGTGATGTTGAGCAACGGCCTGACGAGAACGAACTGACTGGAGTCGGAGCAGGAGCAAGACGATCGACCAATGAGGAACTCTCCACACCAAAGTTGATCGCCCATTGAAAGGGTCCATTCAAACAATAGTGATGCCAGCATGCAAACTAAATGTGCGCCTGAAGAGAATAGGAACATGCTGGGCCCGCTCTTCCGCCAAACCAAGTTGCCAGCTCCGCTTCGCTCCACCGGCAACTCGGTTCGGCAGGGAGCGGGCCCAGCTTGGCCTGCCGGCGGCGTTTGGGACGGGCCTTCGGCCCGTCCCTTCTGAATTTTTATGGTATAATACATCTTCTATCCGAAAACGGGCATTCGGCCTTCGGCCCGTTTGAATGACGGCTCGCTTCGAACCATCTTTTTGCCAGGTACCTTTTGAGGCATTCCATTTCCATTTCCGTTCCCCAAGAAGGACGTGAGCTAGAGTTCTGAAATTTTCAGGGTATTATTGTTGTCACTTCTGGACAACGAAACGGTTGGTGCAAATCCTGGCAACCACCCCTGAGTGGATCTGAGGGGGTAACAAAGAAATAGGGGTTGGTCCAAGAAGTGGAAAAAAATATTTTTTTATTGTTTCCTAAGGGGTTACTCGTGAAAGTAGAGTCCTTTGGGCTAAAATTTCGTCCGTATGGCTCTATCTCTCACCGTTTAGGCGCTAGAGGGAGTTTTTCTGACAAAAGTGGCACAAAAACAATGTATTAAGCTTAGAAAATATTTGACGGTTTCCTAAGGGGTAACTTGGGAAAGTACAATCCTATGGGCTAAAATTTCGTCCGTTTTGCTCTATCTCTCACCGTTTAGGCGCTAGAGGGAGTTTTTCTGACAAAATTGACCCCGAAACAGTATATTAAGTTTAGAAAATATTTGATGGTTTCCTAGGGGGTAACTTAGGCAAATAGAGTCCTATGGGTTAAAATTTCGTCCGTTTGGCTCTATCTCTCACCGTTTAGGCGATAGAGGGAGTTTCTCTCACCAAAATGGCCAAAACAGAAATATTGTTATTTTTTCAGAAGTACACTTCTGTCTGAGAAGTATGCGGCCGGTTCAAAATTTTCTTCTAAGCAGAAGAGTGGGCTTATTTTATGGTGGCACATCATTAATAAAACGTGTACACTTTTCAGCAAAAAAA